CGGGGCGGAGGGGACGGCCCGGGGCGGACACCGCTAGGGCCGGGGCAGCCCCCGACTCCCGCCCTGTGCTGCAGACCGGCTCCTCATGAAGGAGCAGCAGAGTAAGATGCTGGAGATGGAGCTGGCCAAAGAGAAGGCGCAGCACGGCCGCGAGAAGGAGGAGTGGGCGCAGGTCCGGCGTGAGCTGGAGAAGGGCCTGACCGAGTGCAGCCGCGCGAAGGAGCAGCTGGCGCAGCAGCGCCAGCTGGCGGAGAGGCAGCTGCAGCTGGTGCAGGGGCTGTGCGCCCCGCTGGACCACGACAAGCTGCTGATGGAGCTGCGCACGCTGTGGCGGGACTCGGTGATCATGCGCTCGCTGGACAGCCTGGCCTACGGCACCTTCCACTCGCTGGGCGCCGACCTTTCTTTGGTCCGCCGGGCCTGCGACCAGCTGCCAGCGATTATGGCGACCAAGGGCGAGGAGCTGGCGAACAGGCTGCGCTCGGATATCCAGCGCGTGGCGCACGAGAACACGGAGCTGCGCGCGCAGAAGCTGGAGGCGGAGCAGCGCGTGCGCGACCTGCAGGCAGAGGCCGACAAGGCCAAGGCGGAGGCGGCGCAACGCGAGGCCCAGGCGCGCGTGGAGTGCACGCGCCTGACGCAGCTCGCGCGGGACCAGCAGGAGGCGCTGCGCAGGGAGCGCGAGGCCCTGGGCAAGGAGCTGGAGGAGCGCAAGCAGCAGGTGGCGCAGCTGCGGGTGCAGGTGGAAGTGAAGCAGGACTCGCTGCAAACCTGCCTCAAGGCCAAGGTGTGCCGCGGGCGTCGCTTGGCGTGGAACAGGCGGCCTGGGGCTCAGGATGGGGTTGGACCCAGGGAATGGCATGGGAGTGGAGACGCAGAGGCACGGGGGGCCCGTGCCCTCGGGAAGCTGAGGCCGGGGGTGCAAGTTCTGGCCTGATAACTGCGGCTCAGTGAAGCTCTGGCGCAAAACTTAAACCTAATTCAGAAGGAGCTGGGGGTGCAGCTCCATGCAAAGACTTGGTCCAATCCTGGGAGAAAAAAAAAAAAAAAAAAAAAAAAAAATATATATATATATATATATATATATAGCTATGGCAGGGTCTGCAGGGAACGGGGAAAGCTCAGGATTGCTGGGCTTGGGGCCCGCTTTGGGGTGCTGGGCCCAGGTGCGGCCTGAGAGCTCAGACCTGGTGTTCAGGGCCGGCGCCGTGGCTGACAGCAGCGGCTCCTGAGGGGGGTGTGAGTGCAGACGCCCCTGCGGGGACACTGAGGCACTGCACGCCCGGAGCCCCCAGACCCCGCTGTCCCTGGGGGGTGGCTGACGGGCAGGACTCGGGTTCAGGCCTCGGCTCCACCAGCCTCCTCCTTCTTCACAGTCACAGCCGATAAACCCTCCTCGCCTTGTGCCTCCGGCCCTCAATCTGACCCCCATCGGTAAGTGATCCTGACAGGGCCAGGCGGGTGCACGGGGTGGGGCAGTGCAGGGGGTCAGCCCCCTCCCAGTGGGCACAGCCCAACCCGCAGTCCCTCTACAGACCCCGAGAGCCTGGAAAAGTTCAAGAAGATGATCCTCGAGTCGCAAGGGGTCTCCCTGCTCCAGGTCAGGTAAGGTTCTGCAGGCTGAAGCCCAAAGCCCAGTGGGGTCGGGGAGCCTGGCCGCCTGCACTGCCTCCAGCCTCCACTCCAGACCGCTGCAGGGAGGAACCCAATCCCCCAGCCAGCTAGTTCTGCCTTCCTGACAGTCCTAACCCTCCTGCCTCAGCGGCTGAGTGCTGGATGACCAGTGTGGGCCACGTCACCTGGCTCAGATGAACTACTGTCGTCCCCACTCCCTAGATGGGAGAGCCATGCCCGGAGAGAGCATGGTAGGGCCTCAGCCATCCTGGCTGCTCTGGAGGCAGAAGCAGGAGGGTCACAAATTTAAGCTCAGCCTGGCCTACTCAGGGAGACACTGCTTGAAGTTGATCAAAAGGACTGGTATGAGCTTGGGGGTGAGCACTGGCCTAGTGGGCATCAGGCCCTGGGTTCTGACTCTGGTGCCAAAATAAACAAAAGGAACAGGCACTCGAGACAGGCCTGGGGACCGCCCACTGGCACTGGGCGAGGGCGGCTTGGCCCGGCCATCCAGCATCTGTGGGCCTGGCTCAGTGTCCTCGCCCCTCACCACACCCGAGGTCAGGCATCCACCAGATGACAGCGGCACAGGGGTCACAGGTCAGGTGACTGGGCCCACCTATAACACCCTGTGCCCCACTAGGCCCTTGCAGGTTTGGGGGGAAGGACACACCCACACTCCCTTAGAATGGAGGCTCAGGGAGGTACCGGATTTGACCCTACAGATCAAGTCCCCAATTCCATCCCTGTCAGGCCGAAGGTCGTAGCATGGACACTGCGCTTCCACTTGTAGTCCCTCCCTGCCAAGATCTCATCCCTCACAGCCCTAGCTCTGCCCAGCCCCTCCTCCCTTCTATCCCACAGGACACAATGTTCCTCCTCCATCTTGGCCCACAGCCCTGGTGGCAAGGAAAGGGAGTCTATTATTATCCCCATTTCTCAGAGGAGGAAACTGAGGCCCCAGCTGGGGTCACGAACAGGGCCGGGCTCCCAGCCCAGGACTGTCCGGCCAGGCTGAGAACCGGGGAAGCTCTTGACATTGTTTACCCCAAATGACGTACCACGGGAGAGAAAACAATGAGCACTTAAGCCTGGTCTCCTGTTTCTGGCTTCAGGGCTGCAGGAAGGGATCTGGCCCCTGGCCTTCCCTTGGGGCTGGGGCTCAGTTGCGCTGGGCACCAAGGCCGGCACAGCCCTTGCATTGTCAACATCATTTAGTTTGTTTTTGGAAACAGTCTGCCTATTGCCCAAGCTGGCGTCAAACTGCTAGTCTCAAGCGACCTTCCTGCTTCAGCCTCCTGAGGCCACAAGCGTGCCCTCCTTAGACCCTGTCTGTCCCAAAGCTGTAAGTCAAGGGTCTTGGTAGTTGGGTTCTTTGAGTTTTTCTGAGGAGTTGGGGCCCAGGACCTCAACACTCCAGGCAATCATGTGCCCTGCCCTTTATTTATGTGGCTGATCAATCTGAGACTTGAGCTTTATATGGAAGGCATCCATCTAGTCATCCAACTCTAGTCTTTTCTCTTTTTTGGCGAAATTGGGGATTGAACTCAGGCCCTTGAGCTTGCCAGGCAAGCACTTACTCTACTGGACTATCTCCCCAGCCGTTTTTACCCTTCTTCAGTATGGGGGACGGAACCCAGGTTCTCCACATTGCACTGAACTTCCAGTCCTTTTTTATGTTTCATTTTGAGACAGGCTCTCACTAAATCCCTAAGTTGTCCAAGCTGGAGGTCAGGTTTGCTGTCCTCCTGCCTCAGCTCCCAGGGTGCTGGGTGACAGTGATTTTAAAACCCATTGGCCCAGTAGTGTCCCTCTCCTGCAGTCCCAGCTCCTCAAGAAGCGGAAGCAGGACAACTGCCTGTACCCAGGAATTTGTAGCTATCCTGTATACATAATGAGCCCAGATTCAGGAAAAAAAAAACAAAAACAAAAAAACCCCACAGTTGATATAAAAACAAATACTAAGATTTGGTCCAGGCACTATAGAAGTGCATAGGGCAAAGTCAAGATGTAGAAGGTGCTCCAAAGAAAAGCAAGCGCAAAAAAGGCAAGGAAGGAAGGAAGGATAAAGAGGAGGGTGAAGTTACAAGGGGTTTCTGCAGGGCTGGATTTGTTTTTTGAGTTGACCTTTGACCTTTGGCCAGAGACTTAACAGGGAACCTGGCAGCAAGGGGTGCAGCTGACCTCTAGCTGCAAGCTTGACCCCGGGAGGCTGTGAGCAGGTGGGGGCTTCCTTTTTTGCGAACTGAGAATGAACCCAGGACCTTCACGCTGAGCTGCACCCCAGCCTCAGAGACGGCCTCTATGAGTTGTGATGTAGCCCGGGAGAGTGTGAATCTGTGATCCTCCTGCCTCAGCCCCCTAGAGCACTGAAGGACGGGCACAGAATGGGGCCCCCGCTGGTGGGCGTCCCGGGGCCGCGGACGGAGCCTGGCTGCGGAAGGTCGCAGTAGGGGACATGGCTCACCGAGCTGTCACCAACTCCGCAGGACCTGAGGAAGCCACGACCCCAGGGCAGAAGGGACGACGCGTGCCACCGCCCGACGCCTACACCACCCGCTTCCACGCCGCCTGCGCGTCCCACGCCGCGTGACGTCACCGCAGGGGTCCATAGGGCAGAAAGCCAAGAAGTAAAAGGTGCTCTAAAGAAAAGCCAGCCTGAAAAGGCAAGGAAGGATGAGGAAAACAGTGAGGTTTCTGCGGGGCAGGATTTCTGGCCCTACCGTCGGCCCCAGGCACCGCGGTGACGTCACGGGGTGCCACTGTGGCGTCACAGGCCGAGATGGCTCTCCGACGTTGTGTGCAGAGACTGCCTGGGCGCGGCGGAGCCCGAAGCCTTCCGGGCACGGCCGTGGCCTCGTGCGCGCGCCTGGGCAGTGCGGGTGCCGGTGCCAGGCGGGGCGCGCGCCACGATGCGCACTCGTGGCCCCTCACAGCCCGCCTCGCCACTGGCTGCGCCCGCCGTCCTCCCTCCTCCAGCTTCCTTATCTCCCCGCGCCGGGACCGGAGGTGCGAACAGGAAGCCATTCACCGCCGCACCCCCACCTCGAGTTTCCAGGTCTCCCCCTCTTGAGAGTTTCTAGACCTTCCTTGGGAGTTTCTAGGAGCTCCTAAGACCTAGTCCTGGACAAGCAACTCCAGAGGCCCTGCACGCGCACCCCTAGCCCTACCTGCAGCCAATACAGATACTAGTGTCACTTAATAAATACTAGCCACCTTTCCCGAGGCTCCTGAGTCATGATTTCTGCTGTGAAGAGACACCCAGGGACCACTTAGAAGGAAAGATGGAGCGCTTGCTCCACGTCCTTGGCCAGGGGCAGAGTCTGAAGAAGTGCCTCGGAGCGCAGCCGAGAGTAGCGACTGTCACTGGGGTCACAGAAGGGAGCCTCTGAAGCTTCCTTGGCCAGAACAGACAAGGCTGCTGCGGCAGAGGTCCCCGGGGTGGTGGTTTTTGTGGCAAGGCTCAAGCTCGACGGCAGCGAGGGTGCATCTGTGGTGTAGTGTCACTGAGCTGGGTGGTGGCAGAGGACAGGTGAAGGAAGGAGGCTGGGGAATCGCCTTGAAGCCGCAGGCCTGCAGCTGGGGAGGCGTAGAAAGTGGTTTCCCAGGGTGGGGGAAACCCAGATCCTCGCCTGCAGCACACCTGGCACCGCACCTCTGGGAGGCCGAGGCAGGGGAGTCTTGCAGGGCAGCCTGGGCAACTGAGCAAGATGGTCTCAAAATAAAAAGGACTGGAGATGCAGCTCAGTGTGAAAGCCCCTGGGTTCCAACTCTAGTGTACCAAAACAAAGACAAAAACAAAAAAGAAAAATGCAAATCCTGTCATCCCTGCTGAAGAGTTCCGTGAGATGCTGGGCTCTTATTTCTAAGCAGACTCCAGGAAACAGAGCAAATGGCCATCGAGGGAAAAGCAGTCTAAAATTCCAGCAGAGCGCTCAGTCCACCCCCCTTCTGGGTCTCCAGGGCCACATCCCACTGCAGCAGGGTGAGTCATGGGGTCTGGCTGGCAGGGCCACCTCGGGCAGGACAAAGTGCTATTTCCGGGATGCGGAAGAAGCCCGGGCAAGAGACACTGCAGGAAACACTTGGTCAGGGCCTGCGGGGAGGGCAGGGTCAGCGGGTGGCCTGGACCGGACAGTTGGGGCCCCAAGGAAACGGGGGGCGACCCTGGCTCTCAGCCTACTGCTCTGAGCACTGCATCATTGGGAACCACGGATGCTGGCCAGGTCTGACTTGGGCTCCACACCCACAACCCCGGGATTCCACCCCCAATCTGTTCCCCTGTCACCATTTTCTCATCTAAGTGGGAGCTATAATAGCAATGTAAAGCCCAAACACAGTATGCACACCTGTCATCCCAGCACTCTGCTGAGGCAGAAGGGTCCCGAGTTCAAACCCGGCCTGGACAACTTAGTGGGAGTCTGTCGCAAAATGAAAAGTCCTGGGGAGGCAGCTCCGTGGATGGCTTTGGGTCCCACCCTCTGTACCCATCTCTCCAAGTGTCAGTAACAACAATCAGCACTCTGATCTCCCAGACAGGGGCTGGGCACTGGCCCTCCCAGGCTCCCCGCCCTCCCGTCTGAGGCTCCAGGATGCATCTTCCAGACCGCCTCAGGGGCCCAGCCTCTGCATGCAGTGTGGCCCCAGCCAGGGACTTCCCTGCAGCTGTGTGTCCCTGCGGGCCCATCCCGTGGGGAGCCCCGGCAGGTCCCTGACCTAGGGGCTTCCTGCACCCCTATTAATAACCCACAGCTTCCCACAAACTCCTCATCCTCTTGGAAAAAGCATCAGAGCCATTGAGCCTGACTGTGCGGGAGCCTGGACCAGCGTCGTAGGGCAGGGAAGCCAGGCAGCGACCCAGCAGTGTGCCGGCCACCTTGCCCTGCCCCGGGGTCATGGGATACCCAGTCTTTACACCTCCCACACTCAGTGAAGCCATTCAGTGAGGCTACCCACCCAGGACCCTCGGCTTGGCTTTCTTCCCCAGACCTCAGTTTATCTATGTGAAGATGGTACAACAATAACACCCACAGGCCCAGCACGCCATGAAGCCCTTCTGCTCTGGAAACCCCACTTAGGGCACACTGACGGGGGGACACGCAAACTGCCGGCCAGCCATGGACTGCAGGGAGCTCTGAAGGAAGCAGGAAAGAGGTGCCTTCAGCGGGGAATTCTGGGTGGTTTTGTTATTTTCCTTAGCACTAGGATCCAGGCCCTTCCCATTGAGCTACATCCTCAGCCCTTTTTACGCTTTTTGAGGCAGGGCCTGGATAAGTCACCAGAGTCACCGAGTTACCCAGGCTGAGCTCCAGTGGAGTCTTCTGCTTCAGCCTCTGAGTGCCTGGCAGCAATAAACAGCCTCCAAGCCACCACGGGTTTTTTTGTGTTCGCAGCGCTGAGGATGGAAACCTACGCATGCTACATAAACGCTCACCACTAAGCCGCACTCCAGCCACTTTTGAGTTTTGCTGAGTGGCTCAGGCTGGGCTCAAATCCCGCAATCCTCCTGCCTCAGCATCCAGAGCGTAGTCTGCATGACCGGCAAACTGCCCGGTGCGGAGGGCAGGATCCGCCCGAGCCAGGCCTTCCTTAGGGTGCGGCGCCCTCTGCTGGCCACGCATCGCCGCAACGCGCTCCCAGCTCCGGAGAAGCAGCTTCTGTGCGCCTGCCTTCAAAAAATGTTTATTTTTTTGTACATGGGGGGAAGGCTGAGGCAGCTGGATTGTCGCAGTTCGAGGCCAACCTGGCCTACATAGTGAGTTCAAGGCTACCTGCCCTGCATAGAGATCTTACCTCCAAAAAGCAATCATGATAAAATCTAAAAAAGAGGACTTGGGCTGGTGAGATGGCTCAGTGGGCTAAAGCACCTACTTAGAACAAGCTTAGCAAAGCACAGGGACCGTGGTTCAATCCCCCAGCACCACATGCCAGCCAGCCCCGCCCCCTGGTGGGCCGAGCTGGTCACACACACACAAATATAAATAATTTAAAAAGAGGACTTAGGGGGCCGGGAGATGGCTCAGTAGGATAAGCGCTTGACTGGCAAACGTCAAGGATCTGAGTTCAATCCCCGGTTCCACAAAAAAAAAAAAAAAAAAGGACTTAGGGGACTTGCCGACTAGCTTACTTGTATAAGTGACTGCATGGGCAAAACCAGTCAGGCTTGAGGGACTGCAGCTCGATCCCTAGCTCCATATGCACACCACACTCACCCCTAAGGCAGCCTGAGCCAGCACACCCCCCCCAAAAAAAAAAATCCTTCTCAACTTTTACTTTCAGGGAGATAGTAAGCGCAAAGTCCTGGTACAAAAAAAAAAAAGTAAAAAAGAGGGCTGGGTAGGCCAGTGAGATAGCTCAGTGGACTAAGCACCTGCTTAGGCAAGTGCAGGGACTGGGGTTCGCTCCCTGGTACCAAATGCTGGCACGCCTGTAATCCAGCACTGAAGAGGCTGAAAACAGAAGGATCACTATGAGTTCTAGCTACACAGTGAGACCTTGTACCAAATACATTTTTTTTTAAAAAGCAGGCTGGATGGGGGGCTGCACTCCTGTAATCTCAGCATTTGGGAGGCAGAAGCATCACTTTGAGTTCAAGACCAGCCTGTGAGCTCAAGGCCAGCCTAACTATAGATAGATAGATAGATAGATAGATAGATAGATAGATAGATAGACAGACAGACAGACAGCCAGCCAGCCAGCCAGCCAGCAAGACCCTACCTCAAAAAACAAGAAAGATAAATAAAAAGGTCTGGCTCAGTGGTCTAAAGCACCTGCTTAGGCAAGCTTAGGCAGGTGCAGAGGACCGCGGTTCAACTCCCGGCACCACCTGCCATACCAGTCCTGCCCTCAGGCAGGCTAAGCCAGTCAAAAATATATATATATATA